GTGTTTATATAATAAATGCTGCTAACTTTATATTAACACATCAAATAGCGGTATTTAATGAAAAACACAACTAAAAAAATGCCACCAAATCTCCATTTTCTTGTAGTGATAGCTTTTTAATTATTTGACTTATCTTGGTAACTATTAATTATCTGTTTGAATATTTTTTGTGTCAATAATTGACAAATTTTTTACCTCCATCCCTCTTTTGATTTTAAATAAAAGATATTTTATCTCAATTTAAATTTACACATAACTCTTAATTTAAAATTACATCATTTATCTTAGAGGTCGTGGCATTATCATTAGAATTTCTTATTCAACTCTTAATTTAAAACTTTAGTATTAAATTAATTGCTGCTCCTAACATTTCTAATGCTTACACAATAAATGGACGGCCTGGTGATCTCTACCCATGCTTTCAAAACAATAAGTGATTACCAATACATATCTTCATGCACATACTTCATAATTTTTATATGTTAATTGATGTTTAATTTAATTATGAGGTTTCCCGTTATGTACAAGTTTAAAGTGGAGCAAGGGAAGCCCTATCTTTTATGTATTATCAATGCTGCACTCAACAACCAACTTTTATACAAGATAGCCAATCATAAGATGACAATCGTTGTCATTGATGCCAGCTACGCCAAGTCTTATGTCATTGATGTCGTGATTACCGGCCCTGGCCAAACAGTAAACATTCTACTAACCATCGTTCAGTCAGTTGGGTCGTATTACATGGCCGCAAGACCATATGCAAGCACAATTGATGTACAATATGAATTCCACAACATACACATTATTTTATTCATTTTTTTCCTTTTACAACACACATTTTCTAACAATTTGCATTTTTTTTCAAGGTTTTCATCAAGATTTCAGTTTAGTAAAAGTACGTCAATACCTTATTATGATTTACTTTTATCTTTCAACCTTATTGTTTTAATATTTTGTAGTATTTTGATCAATATCACAATTTAATAAAGGTTTGTCAATTCCACTTTTAATAATTCCACAACATGCATATTATTTTTTATTCAACTCTTTCTTAAGATATTTTATTACTTTTTACTTAAGGTATTTCAATACTTTTTTTATGAATTAATTTCCTCTTCCATTTATTCAATTCTTCATTCTTCTTCTTTTATTTTTATACCATTTCTTAAGATATATTAAAATTTAATAAAAAATAATCATTGCATTTTTTATAATTTAATTTACACTTTTTTATATTTTTAGCTCCAGAAAAAATGCAATCTTTGTGTGGACTCTATAAATATATATAAATTCATAGTCTTTGATGATGCATTGTATGAAAGTCTCATTTTTTTCTATGTTTTTTATTTGATCTTATAACATCATTTTTCTTGAAAAGTGTATGTGAATCATCAACAGCTGAATCTTAGCTTCTCTTTACAATCTTCATAGAAATTGAAAGAAAATAAACATGCAAGAAAATGAAGAAATGTTAGCAACATAATCAGCCTGAGAGCAACCACTCTAAGAATAACAAAAGAATCTCTAAAATAATAAAGAACAAGCTGAATTAATAATAAAGGATGTACATAATCAAAACATTTTTTCCTTATTTGATGTTGTTGTTGCAATGGTAATATTAGTAATTATTTTGTGTCTGGTTCTTCATAATTTAAAATATATATTTTCTCAATTTAAAACTACAAACATTTATTGAATTAAAATTAAACAAATATATCTTATCTATCACTTATGATTTATTAACAATATCTCATTTCTAATTAAATTCTTTCAATTTTCTAATTCAAAATTAGTAATAATTCAAAAATTTTTTTACTCAACTTAATTTAAAAATCAATTATACCATTTTAATAATCTACTCACTTAATTATTTTTTTGATATCTAATTCTCTAAGATTATCAAACTAAAATTAAAATATTTTATTTATAAAAGTGAAATCTTTTATAATTTTACTAAACTCTTGATGTGACATACAAGATAAATTCAAACTCTTATAACTTCACTTAATTTTTGAAGTGAAATTATGAGATTTAAAACAAACTCTATCACCAATGGCGTGGAAATAAAAACAAAAAATGAAAGACATGAAAGCTATCCTTCTCGTACAAATTAATTAAACATTATGTTATGGAAACATAAATAATCAAAGGCTTAAAATATATATATATATATATATTTCTTGCTGAACAAAAAATTATAATATATTTTTTTTCAGTAAAGCTTTTGCTTTTTCTGAAAAAAGAATGTTATATAATATCAAGGCCGGCCGACAATAAACCATTGGAGCTTCTATTTGTACGCTAAGAATTGTTCCATACATTCAAAATTTGTTAAGTTTGAATTTAACGTGTTAAAAAATATATTGTAGAAAGTAATTTATAAGGTACAAATAGAAGCTATCTAAATCATACCAATTTATCAGGTCAATCCACGATTAAATTCATTTACCAAAAGATACAACGTAACTTAGGTAAGTAATAAAACATTAAAGAATTATTTTTAAAACAAGCTGAGAAAAAAATTAGTGCTAATATATTTTCCCATCATTTTCGGCCTCCCAACTATCATTTTGACATAAATGAAGTTTATTATGTGAAATTCATAAAATTTTTAATAAAAAATAATTTTTTTCTTACTCAGCCAAAATCATTTTATTAATTATAGAATCAATTACAACTTAATGATCCTCTTCTGGTACTAAACCAGCATCTACATATTATCTTCTTACTACCATCTCATCAATTACAACCATGGATTAAATTAGGACTATCAGCACGCATTCTTGCTGGGGAGTCTGCAAAGCAATTGGACTCTCTATATATATATGTACAATTTCCCCTTCGCCTATAGATTCCATATTTCTATCGATTTCAGCTAAAATCTACCATCTATGCCAAGGTCTAGAATTTTTGTTACTTACCCAACCAACAGCAACCTTGGAATCTGATTCTATGATTAGAGTACACTTCTTCAGCCATGGAGACGCCACAAATATTTGAAGTGCAGTTTTGATGGCTAATATCTCTGCCATATTAGATTCCTGTTCTCCTAATGGTCCATAGAATAATCCCCTGATATTCCCTGCCGAATCTCTAAGAACTCCGCCGCATCCTGTTTTTCCTGGTTTTCCTCTGTCAGATTCATCAACATTGAATGTTAGTATATTCTTCCCGAATTTTAGTATATTCTTCCCTGACCTCATGCACCTTGCTCTTGTTACAAGAAAATTTTTATATACTGATGCTTGATTATATTGATAATTAAATTGTATTAGTAAAAGAGATTTAAATTGATGGTCTTTTAATACCGTTAGAATATATCATATTTATATTAATACTTTATACAATTATTGATATAGATATATTTTTCTGATTGTATATAAATTATCTGTCAGTATAAGTATGTTATACTAACGGTTATGTATACTAACGATTAAATTATATAAGTAAAAAATTCTATACTGACAAATTTTTATTACTGCTAGTATAGACAATGTTTATACCAATATTTTATTCTTTCGTCAATATATATTGATACTTTTCTAATAATATATAAATAATCGTCAATACACGTATTTATATACTGACAGATTTTATTTTAACTGTCGATCTAAGTTCCAACAAGTAAATACTACCTATATATACTTATATCTATAGAAGTAATTAATTGTTAGTATAGCTATAGGATATACTGATAATATATTAACGATTATATCTATCCGTTAGTATACCGTACACAAATTTTTTATATATTGAGGCTTAAGTATATTGATAGTAAAATTATATCAGTAAAAAATATTTATATTGATAAATTTTTAATACCGTTAGAATATATAATATTTATACTAATACTTTGTATAATTGAAGGTATAGGTAAATCTTTTCAAATGGTATATAAATATTCATCAGTATAAGTATATTATATGCTGACGGTTATAATAATTGTTAATATAAACTTCAAAAAATATTAATTTTTAATTTTTTTTTGAAAAATATTAATTCATAAATTTTTCTCTAATAAAATTTTCAAAAACTATAATTTCTCAAAAACTATAATTATTAATAAATAAAATTTTTAACTTAATTAATTTTAAATGATAATAAATTCTAAATAAATTTTTTTAAGTATTATGTTAATTAATAAATTTATAATTAAATTATTATACTAAAAAAATTTTAAATTTAAATATTATATTAAATATTTTATAATATTATCACTATTTTCAATTTTCTTGACGACTTGCCTCTATGATTCCTTCCATCGCCGAAAAATATAATTTACTCTTCATAGTATTTTTAATTTTCTTAGAAAGCAGCTTCCCTCTTTGCTTCTTTCGTATTATTTTCAATTGTTTAAAAGAAGATACGATATTACTTTGATATACAATAAAATCAATGTTCGGACTAATAAGCTATACAATTAACACTTTCAAAGAGACAAATTTGTACTACTCTATAAAACAATTTATCAAAGTTTTCTTGCAGTTATTTATGCCATTACAATAATTGTAGGATAAAAAAACAAATTATTTACAATAATGAAAAAAAAAAAAAAAAAAACACTCGTCTTCTAAAAAGCCTCTGAATAAACCTAAAATCCCGCAAAACCCCAAAACCTCCTTTTTCCTCCTCCTCAAAATCTTTGCCTCCTCCCTCCCTCTGTCTCCTTTCTCCAAAAACCCATAAAGAGAAGTAGAAATGCAAACCAGATCCGAAAACAATAGCAACTTTGCCTCAATCTGTCGCTCGTCTCACTCTCCCTCAGTTTGTCGCTCGTTCCTCTCTCTCAACTACCAGTCTCTCTTGATTATATTACTGTATGTTTCTCTTACTTTTTTTTTTCTTTTTAAATTTTGATCGTTGAAATTTATTATAATTGAAAGCTTCAATTAACCAATTGAATTAAGTAATTTTTTTAAGATTCTGAGAAATTTATTAGAATTTTTAGGGTTGCCAAATTTATTAGAAAATGCAGTGAGATTTATTTGAATTTTTATGTGATTTTTTCTTTGATTTGCGTATTTATGCTTACTTTTAGCTTTTTAGCTGTTGAAAAAAGATCAAATATGAAGTTGATTGATCAATTAGCTTCCCAGACTGTATAAATTAGCTTCGTGTCTGTATAAATATACCATTTGCTTTGTCTTTTCCAGGGTGGTGGTGCTTTCTCCCTCCATTTTTCTTATTCTTTTTTTCTCAGCCTAAAGGACTACCACTCAATCTCTTCAAAGTCTTTCTCTCATTAATCTTTGGTGCCCAAACTTAGGTCTATCTATAAACACAAGTCAAATTACTGATTGGGTAGCGTAGCAGTCGAAAGAGTCGTGCGATTTTCTTTCTTATATGGTTTAATAGCGTGGTAGATGGAAAAACTTATAATTTGGTCTCGCGCTTCATTTTTAAGTTTCTTACCTTTGGGCCCTATTCATTGTCTTTTTCCGAAACGAAAAAAGATTCTAAGTTTTGTAGTTTTCAAAGATTTTTAAATAATATAAAAAGATTAGAATTAATATATTCTTCTAAATCTCAATACTAAGTCAAATGTGAACATTCAATCTGAATCTGAGGAGTTATTGATTTTACATATTTACATTAATCTATGTTTTTGTTTAGCATATACTATCAACAATTGAGTTACTACTATGACTTAGCCAGTCTGTATGAAGTTGATTGAGCTTTAGCACATGTTTTTGTTGATACTTTGGTTGGAATATTCCACTACCAAAGATATTTCTAAAAGTTTATTGGAGCTGTTGTCAGTGAATGAAGAATCAGAAACTAGAGTAAGAATTGATTTGGCTTCTGATCTAATTGGTGGTGGATATATAAATATAGATATCTTTCAAATGGCTACTGGGGTTCAAAATCAATAGAGTGTGCCAAAGAACCTGAAGAAACAGCTTGCTCTTACTGTGAGAAACATCCAGTGGACTTATGCAATTTTCTGGTCCATTTCAGCTAGACAAACAGGGTACAAAATGTTCCATTTTTGCCCCATCTTTTTGTTTTTTCTTATGTGCAACTTTAACTATGCTTTTTAAAAACACAGGGTCTGCTTCTGAAACTTTTCTGCTTAATATCTTTGTCTCTTCCTAATTTTTCTCTAGAGTTCGAGTATTCTCCGTCATTGGATCTTGCCACAGTGTTAAAAATGCAGAGTCAAATTCTTTAAGGTGCTACATCACCTTTCAAAGATTGAGATTCTTCTCTTTACATTCTTTTATGCTACTATATATCCCTATGATTTCCTTTCCTTGATGTCACGGGGTGAGATTCTCCATTGTCACGAGTGGGATTCCACGTAAAACAAACACATACCCTACCAAAGAAGCTGCTACAATTTGAATAAGTAGATAAATATTTTGGTTGCTGGTAGCCCCATTATGATATACTCCTAACCCTTGGCCTTAGTATTTTATTTTGTTTAAGGATTCATTAATATAATTATTTGATGATGTCCATGTACTCTAGTGATCTGATTATTATAGGGTTAATGTAAGCACTAAAAGGCATATATAAGTGAGGTTGGTCAATTGGAATCTGCAGGTGTTTTTTAGTCAGAGAAAAGATAGAGAATTAAAAGGCAAGCCTGTGAGCAGAGTTGTTCACTAGAAAACAAATGAGTTAGGGGCTGAGGGCTCAAAAAATGGTATAAAAATCATGAAGTTGGAATTGGATCAGTTTTACAGGTTGTGGATAAAGATGACAAAACTAGGCTGTTTAGGAATTTGGGCTACGAGACTGAGTTGGGCCATGGGATTTAGCTGGTAGACCCAAAAGTTACTGATTCTGAATCATACTAACTTGATCAAGATCATGCTTTCTACTAGGGGTGTAAATGATACATTAGTACTCGCAAGTTATTCGGGTTCGATTCGAATAAAACTTGAATTCGGCTCGATTATTATCTAGTCGAGCTTGAGCTCGAGTAGCTCGACTCATCGATCAAGCCGAGTTCAAGCATTTTTATATCCGATTCGAATAACTCGCAAGCCTAATCGAGCTTTTATATTTAAATATATTTTTGTTATTTTAATTAATAAAATATCTTGAACTCGAGCTCGAACTTGAGTGCAAATAATCGAGCTTTTGTCGAATATAAGAATCGAGCTTATTTTTACATATTAATCGAGCCTAATTAAGCGAGCTCAAATAGCTCGATTTTTATCTCGAGTCGAACTTAAGCTAGAAAAATAAAACTCAATCAAGTTAAATTCGAGCTGAGTTTCGAGCTTCGAATTTCGAATCAACCTCGAGCTGGAGTTTAATACTGTATCGGTTTGAACTCGATCAATTACACCCTTACCTTCTACCTTCTAATCCCATAAGAATACATATATAGTTTTCTTTTTGGGCCAACGTATATGGTTTGGTTCGGTCTTATAAAATCACCGACCAATAATAACTTTATACCATACAAGTGACAGAACAAGGTTTGGTTCAAATTCTCTCAGCCTTTTTTGTTTTTTGCTTATAAATCCTAGCTAGGTAAATGGTTGGTTGTGTTTAAATATGTTTGCACGAGTTTAGGAGACTATTCACTTTTTTGTTGACCATTCATTAACTTTGTTGGATGGTCCAATTGTATTGCTTTAATTTAAGATAATAATTAATGAGACGGATGCAACTTGCATATGTATCCTGATCATTAAGGAAGATTATAATCACACTTCTGAAGATTACTAGGTTCATTATCAATAACTATAGCAACATGTCCAAGTGGGTGAGAAATATGTTAATGTCAATTGTCAAACGATCCTTTACAAATAAGAAAAATAAAGCAATGCAAAAAGATGGTTGCTAATTTTTATATTACAGGTTGTTATTTTCTTCATATAATCATTAGCACAACTACGGTTTTGTATCCAATGATTATTATTCTCAGGGGAATTATTTTTTTCTTTACATTTTTTCATTTGGATTTTTATATTTGTTTTTAAATTTGTTATTGATTATTATAAAATTGGTTTTTTAAGTCTACATTCACATAGTATTTGGAGTTCAACGATCATTCCCCCTTGCTTTTCTTTAGAATATTTTTGGTAAAAGATAATACATTCAATTGTGAATATTTATCATTATTAATGTAACTATTTCCCATCACTTACTCCTAATTAAGTTGATATTTAGATAACTTTGATTGGGTAGATGTATAAAATAAACTACTTATTAATAATTAAGTTGACATTTTTAGATAACTTTCATTACTATTGCCAATGTCAAGTTTGCTTCAATTTTAGATAACTTTCATTGCTATTGTGAATCCTACATTACTGCAATACCCTTCTCCACTCCATTTTCGTTTATCATAGCCAAAAAATTGGTGGTCTTTGGATTCCCTTCCATGTTAACATAGGGAGCACCTTTCATCCACCTCTATTCCCCAATTTCTCAACTTATCTTTTGTTGAAAGCATATTTAATATAATCATCCATGCAATCAATGAGTGTTTTGAAATATAATATTAAAACCAGATTATTTTATGCCCCTCAACCTCTCTTTGCTTAGACCTTACCTTATTCTATACCATTGTGCGTAATATTATAGGTTTGAACCTTATGTTATGTATTTAATTTGTGTATTGGTTTAGTCTATTTTGTTCCAAAATAATGTTATACATATGTTTATAGCCTTTTGGAAATTACAACACAAAGTTTTGGCAAATTGAGACTTTTTGTTCCTTATTATATATTTGACAATAATATACAAAAACAAAATTACTTTGCTTAAAATTGGTCTTTTTAGCATTCAATAATGCAAGGATATTATTGAAAATTTCACAACATACCATATTCATTCCCAACCCCCAAGAGTCAGCTACTAACGACAAGATAAACAGTCACATGGCTCTTGCATTTCATTTAAGCAAATTTCTATCCCGTGGGGAAGCGATGTGATTGTCTCATCAATTGAATTATCATCACATGCATGATTCTCAGTTGATGCTTCAAAAGGAAACTGAAAAGGTCTTGGAGGCATTTCAAGCAGTTCAGTATCGGTTTCGAGCATCTCCAACACTTTTGACATTGATGGACGATTAGCAGGCTTCATTTGTATACACCAAAAAGCTACTACTAACATCTTCCTCAAAATCATCTTTTCACTATCCGTAACATCTCCCAATTCTATTTCCTCTCCTTGCTCAAATCGATCATATATCCATGATGGGAAGTATATCTGACTTGATTGTTCTGCGAATGCATTCAAATTTTTCCTTCTTCCCACAATTTCCATTAAAAGCATCCCGAAACTATAAACATCAGCTCTATATGAGATGCCTCCAATGTTTTTGTAGACCAATTCAGGAGCAATATATCCCAGTGTACCTCGTGCTGCAGTGAGAGACACAATGCTATCATCTACTGAATATAATTTTGCTAAACCAAAATCTGAAACTTTTGGGTTGAAATTCTCATCTAGAAGAATATTATGAGGCTTGATATCAAAATGTAAAATTTGCATGTCACATCCTCGATGTAAATAGTCAATTCCTCGAGCAACTCCAAGCACAATATCAAGCATTTTCTGCCAGCTTAAACTGATCTTATTTTCTCCAGAAAATATGATTTTATCTAATGAACTATTTGGCATGAAATCATAAACAAGAGCTTGCTTTGACCCCTCAACACAAAACCCAATAAGTTTCGCAATGTTGACATGATGAATCCTCCCAATTGTTGCAACTTCATTAATGAAATCTTGCCCATTAGCTTTTGATTTGCTCAACAACTTTACTGCCACAAGATGGTTGCTACGAAGTTTTCCTTTAAACACTGAACCATAACCCCCTTCTCCTAATTTATCTTTGAAACCACTAGTTATTCTTTTTATTTCATAGTAAGAATACCTAATAGGTATAAAGTTATTTTGACTTTGAAGGAACTCTTCAATTGTATCATCTGCGGATAAGTGTCTTCTTCGTAATTTGTATGTAACAACCGCAATCAAGATAGATATCCCCAGCAACATTCTTGGTAAGGCAATTCCTCCTTCTCAAGAAAAAAAATGTAAACATATTAGTATTTCTCAATGAAAGGCATTAGTGTCGAAGAAAATAAAAACATAGGAACCTTAATTTTAACAGTAATCTTGAAGCACATACACAAAATTGTATTCATATTGAATAAACTTAAACATGGAGGGAAAATGAACAAATCAGAAAATATTGAAATAAGCATCCAAAACATAACCTTCAAATTACACAATTGAAACTAATTTACCATAAAAGAAACACCAAAAGATGCAAACAAACCCAAAAATAATTGATAAAGTCAAGTGCTCGCATCAACTATTTAACCATACTAGGATTTATGATCATCACTTGTGGTCGACTCAACAATTCTAGAAGATGCTATATATCTATTCCATTCTCTAATGTCACCAAATCTCTAACAGGACCGCTAACATTCTTCAAACTATAACTTATTTAGACAAAAAAAAAGTAGGTAACCATCTTCTAGGGGTCCAACTTTTGATTGGTAGACATTAGAGAAAAAAGAATTAGAAGTTAAGGCAGGTTCTTCAAAATTCTTCTTTGAAATTTTGTCAATTCTGTAACACTCAAGATTTGAATTAAACTGTTCCTTAACACTGTCTTTTAACAAACTTTCACCCTTCAAACTATTAGCAATATTCACTAAATTCATAGTTGTACTATGTTTTGTAGAATTTTTTAAAGAAAGATTGTTAGTTTTTTTTTCTTCCCATACACTTTCAACCACTTCAATAGAATTAAACCAATGAGTATCAACATACGTTTTGTGTACTACCAGAATTTTTAAGATGTGAGACCTGTTGTGAGCATGATATTAAGAGAAATGGAAAAAGCATTGATATTAAATCTAAACTTGTACGATCTAATAGGCTTGTTTAATTCTTTTTTGTTAAACTTGAAGACTTGGATTTATATATGCAAAAGCAAATATAAAGCTAAAACTTAAATATACCTGTTATTTCAAGACACAAAATATATGTACCTGCAGCAAAATACCAATACAAAAATAAAATGTAATTATTTCAATAAAAGAACAAAAATATATAGCAAATCCAAGAAGAGCATTACTAATGAATTCCAGGAAGCATACGTCTAGGAGGATTATAAGAATTGTAGGATACATGATGACCCTTAAAAAGGAAATGTACAAAGCTGTCCACATAGTTTCTCAATGCATATCTCAAATCTGACCATCTGAATTTTCAACACATCAAATTAAAATTAATAATAGTGATATAAAAGAAAACTGACAATTTAAAACGGATAAAAAAATGTAAAAGAAAAATCAACAGAAGGTATTATTAAACGTTAATTATGTTTTGTAGTATCTTATTCTTACCTGTAGTGAAAGTTATTAAAGATGTATTTCTCATTTTATAGTTGACCACTAGAATATGATATTGAAAAAAATTCAAAAATTTCGATTTAAACAACAGTTTGATTTTTATTTTAGTTTTTCAAATCATAATTTTCAAATAATGTTAGCAAAACCGAGGCACTACTTTTTATTAGAGAAAATTGCACTTTGGTATTGAAATAGAAATAAATTAATGGGCTGTGTTGTTTATTGAAAAATAAGTAATGTTGGATGTAATGATTTTTTTAATGTAATCATAACAATGTTAATCACTATCAAGTGGAACAAAAAAAAAAAAAAAACCAATGAAGTACCAAAAATACCTCATTACATTTGAAATATATAAATTGCATTCATTACGTTATATAATATTTATTTTAAAAAGAAAACACTAATCATTTATTATATTGCAACAGTCTCATAAACTAACTGTAATTTTTTTTAATTTGATTATTAATCTAAATTCCTATCTAGAACAGTTATCAATATTTTCTAAAATAGAAATAAAATGCACAAAAAAATCTTACATATCTCGGAATGAAACACTGTTGTCGCACCCTGTGCAGTTGTAGTAATACCATATCAGTTCATAGCCCAGTAATAGCTGTTCATAAATATCCGAAGTAGATAGACCTGAAATATTCTCAAGCATGATTGGAACCTCAGCTATGCCTATGCAAGATGGATTGAAATCGGACGCCTGGGTGTTTCCATGTAAAAAATAAAAGTAGGAAGGTGGATGGGAAGAGCTATTGGGGCAACGAGAGGCATTGACGTACAGAGAAGATTTCATTGTTGTTGTGCAATTTACTAGATACATAAAACTATAACCATACATAGAACTATAATTATAATATAAAGAAACATCCACTCCTAAATTCGATTCCAAAGACTGATATGAATATTCAATACCATTTAAGGAACCACGAGGAAGGGAGCAATGGTCTCTGCTCAGTCTCTCATGATCCACCATATCCATAACTCGTAATATTGTTTGGTCTCCATAAGAGATGTTTTGGACGTACAAGTTATCCTTACCAAACACAAAAGTGGTGCGATTGTTATTGTTGCAATCCAGTTCTAGCCAATGGTCACCACACTCGGGAGGCTGGCTTTTTAATCGGAAAGGGAAGTTGACGGTGACGTTTCCACAATAAGAAGAGCCACAGTCTTTAGGAATTCGACGTTTAGCGATGCAAGAATCAGGGAATGATAGAAATAAAGCAAGGGCCATGAGCCAAAACAACGAAAGTTTTGCTTTTGCCATCCTAAAGTTTTGCTGATGAAGAACCAGATTTAAGTCCAAGGAAATATAAAAGCATAGAAACGTTTTTTTTTCATACCGGGAAGAAACTCATGTTTTTAAAATCACTTAGGTTAAAGTGAGGGAAGACTTTAACGACTTAGACAATAAGAATTAAAAAAAGGTAAATGTCTATCCAAGTTGATTGACCCGTCAAGTGCTTTAAACCATTTTAATTATTATTCAATTGAAATCAACAATATACGCGTAAAAAAATTTATATTTGATATATTATTATTATATAAATTTTATAATCTATTAATATATTATACGGTGTCACCTAACTAATTTATAAATTTAGAAAATTTAAAATCCCTAAAATTAAAAATAAAAATATTCAATAATTACTATAAAAAAATATAATCGAGTTGGATGGTTTTTCAGCTGAAATCTATGATACTTTAAAACAGGATAGTTGCTCTTCAAGTTAATGAAATCTTCTCTTTCTTTTAAAAAAATAAAAAATAATTGTTTTTTTAATTAAATAATTTTAATATTTATCTTTAAAGATTTTTAATTTTTTAAATTTGTGAATCAATGAAATGATCCTATGTAAGGCATTAATATAATAGATTTATATACTATCCGATAATGCATAGTATAGAAATCTTAACAAAAGATATAATAATATAAAAATTTGTAGAAGGGGGCGTAAGAATTTAAGAAGTATAATGAATATTGGAAGATGCAAGTAAGGAATCAAGTTGTAAAAGACAAGGAAATTAAGCACTGAAACAGTTTGTGTGGTGTAACTGAAAGCACGTCATACTTCGAGAAATCAAAGTCAATTGTGGAGAACAATTTAAACAATTAGTCAAGGTCTTGGATAAGATTTTCTTATCTCTTTCTCTTTATTTTATTTTATTTTATTTTGCGAAGATGAATAATTAGGAAGTTGTTAAGGCCCCGTCGAAGACGGCATCCACATCACCACGCCAGCGTACGCGTATAAGACTTTTTTGTTATATCACATGGTCTATGGTCAAAGTCGTGCGGTTATCTTCTTCGCAATCCAGTTGAAGCCCCGGGTAACCACACTCTGAAGGTTGGGTTGCTGATTGAAAAGGGAAACTAATGTTGAGATTTCCAGATAGAGAAGAGCCACAGTCTTTGTTTTGTTGAACGTAAAAGGTATTGGGTAGTAGTCCAGTGATAAAAGTACACTTGTGGGTAGATCTATTAATTGGTTTTATTGAGTTTATATTTTGTTAAATATGTGGAAAATAAAAAATTATTATATCAAATTTATATTGGTATATTGAACATAAAAATATTTTTTTATTTTTATTAAATTTTTTGTTAAAATAAATATTTTTTATTTTTATTAAAATTTTAAATTATATATGTTTATATTATTTTTATGTCACATTTAATTATGATCGGATTTCATTTCTTCGACTGATCTATTATTGGTGGCAGTGAATGAAAGCAAGTCATACCTTGATACAACCAATTAAGTTGCTCTTAAGTGGAACACTTTAGCTGCAAGCCAGTCAAGCACCTTATTAGATAAGACCTCTTTGCCATTTCAATTGACAATTCAGAGAACAATTGTATGTTCAAAATCGAAGTCATTGCAAAACTTTGTTTTTTTACGAAAATAATTTTTGAAAAATAATTTTATATTTATTTGATAGAAAATTAATTGATTAATAAAAAATAATTTATTAATTAATTTAAAATAAAACTTTTTTTTACAATTGTTTTTCTCTGAAGAGAAAGATAATTTTTTTTAAAAAAAAATTATTTATAGGTTCGTAAGATTACTCGACAAATTTATGAGCACTATACTACTCATGTTGGGCTTTGGATAAAAATTTTTTAAGTTTAAATTTAATTTAATACAACTACAGATATTATTATAAATAATTTTAATATTTTAAAATATTAATATAAATAATAAATGATTTAAACTATTAATATAAATAATAAATAGTTTTATTTTAAGTGTTTGTTTATATTAATATAATATTTAAGTATTAAATATTATTATTAAAATATAATTATTTTTTAATATTAATAATTTTAATAATAAATTGTTTCAATATATTTTAATAATAAATAATTTTTAATATTTTAATAGTTATATTAATATTATTTTTAAAAAATAAATTTTTCAAAAAATAGCTAAACACCAAAAAAATATTTTTATTAATTCATCCAAATAACAAACAATTTTTTTAAAATATAAATATTTTTAAAAATTAATTTTCATGAAATAAACGGAATCTAAGCTCCAAGCTCTCCTATTAATTCCCTTTAAGTATCTAATGTTGTTACCAAAGCAAATAATCCTAAACTTTGTAGTGACGCTTTTTGAAAAGGGGGAAATTACCATGCACATCATCTAACATGGTGGAGCCAGCTATGACTATGATTTAGACTAAAGTATTTTTGTCTTATAAATTTATATCATGTTTTATATAAAAATTATGCATAATAATTTATATCAACATATAAAATATAATATATATATATATATATTTTATTAAATTTATATAATTTTTATTAAAATTTTAAATCATATCATACTAATTATTGTTTTATATAATTTTTTTATCATATCATCTTATGTTATTTTAAATTATTAAATTTATTACAACCCAAACTGATTTGAAAATTCATAACGTATTACCATCCTCACCTGATTTAAGCTCAACAGACATCAAATACATATTTGACGTGGATTGCCCAATATATTTTTTTTTTACATGTAATCTCTTTTATTTCATAAACCTTTCATTATTTTTATGAAAATTTCTGAATCTAAAATTTTCAAATCCAATTTTTAATAGCAGCACTATTTTTTTTAATAAAATTGCCCCAACAATACTTAATTTAATAATAACCCTGTTAATAATATTCTTAGTAAGTAAAAAAAAAAATCATTCAAACATTTTCAATTTTCAATAAGTCATTTATTACCCTTTTGGTTCTCACGCGTAGCTCGTTTCAATTTTTATTTTTTTCATCTCATTTTTTTACATTTTTTTAAATTCAAAATTGTGTCTTTTTTTAACATCTAAAATTTTTATATTTTTATATTTTAAAATTATTTTTGATGATTTTTTATTTTTTGACATTAAAAATTATGAAACTTTAATTTTATAAAAAAATTTAAAATTTAATATTAAAATGCATCAAAATCAAAGTTTTTTTTTTTTTTAATTTTTGAAAAATCAATAACACGTAAACAATTTAAGATGAAGGGAGCACTTAATATTAGCTTTAATCTCATGAGATGCACAAACGATAATTTTTTATATTATTTATTTACAATATAAATATTTTTATAAATTTAAAAAGTTAAAATTATAAATTTTATAAAAAGGTAAAATTTTAACTTTGAATTTAAAAGTTTTAAATTAATATGCATTGTATTGCTTAATATAAGAAACTTTAACTTTTATGCATTTACTAATAAGTATTGTATTACAGTTGATCCGATTATTAGTGTTGATCAAATTTTTAAAATTTATAGATTTAAAAAGATTTAAGTGTATAAAATTTTTTTTTCGTTTAAGTGAGTTGAGTATATAAAAGTTAAAGATTAAAGATAGATTAAGAATTTAAAAAAATAATTATTGCCTATAAATAAATAATTTGTTTCAATTATTTATTGATATAAACTATTACAAGAGACACACGATGATAATAAAATTGTAAACATATTAAAATAATAGGTCATTTACATTGATCTTTAAATTTTCACGTAAGATTTAAAAATAAATTTAGATGGCATACATGTTGGTCATTTTTTAAATGTATTGAGTAAATAAAAGTTGAAAGTGAAGATGTATAGTTAGGAAGTAGTTAAGACCCCGTCAAAGAAGGCATCCACTCCCCCAGGCCCAGCGTACGCGTTTAAGACTTTTTTGTTTTTTCTGATCGTCTATGGTCAAAGTCGTGCGGTTATCTTCCTTGCAATCCAGTTGAAGCCCCGGGTTACCACACTCTGAACGTTGGGTTGCCGATTGAAAAGGGTGGCTAATGTTGACATTTCCACGTAAAGAAGAGCCACAGCCTTTGTCTTGTTGAACATAAAAAGTATTGGGTACGCAGTCCAGTGATAGAAAAAACTTCACTTATGCGTAGATCTATTAATTATTAAGTTTAAGTCGCGTACGTGGAATGTGTGTAAAATAAAATATTATTATATTAAAATTGTATTGATATTTAAATAAAAAATTTTTTATTAAATTTTTTGTTAAAATAAATATTTTTATTTTTACTAAAATTTTAAATCATATTATTTATATTTTTTTATATCATATTTAAAATATGATCGGATTTCATTTCTTCGAACTGATCTATTATTGGTGCAGTGAATGAAAGCAAGTTATACTTTGACACAACCAATTAAGTTGCTCTCAAGTGAAACACTTTAGCTACGAGTCAGTCAAGCCATTTCAATTGACAACTCAGAGAACAATTGTGTGTTCAAAATCAAAGTCATTGCAAAACTCTATTTTTGCTAACATAATTTTTGTACTTTTTTATATTTATTTGGTAGAAAATTAGTTGATAAAAAAATATTTATTGATCAATGAAAATAAAATTATTTTTAAAATTGTTTTCCTTTTTTAAAAAGAGGAAGATAATTTTTTTTTTTAGT